GTTGCCACATCTTTACCTGCCAAATGCTAACCTCCCTCCCACTGAGCTTGTTCCCAATTGGTACTCACTGTCCACTAAGGCTGAGGTTTCCACAAACGCTGGGGAACCAAGCAGACTGGTCCCCTGTGCTCTCTGGCCTCCCGGCAATACTTACTTCCTCTCTCATGTTGCACACGGCCTTGATGTCCACGTCAGATTCCAATCTCCTTTCAAGACTGTCAGTCACCATCTAATCCTCACACCATCCCAGACACAGACAAATCCCTTCAGGTTTTACCTCTAGTAGGTCCTTTATTTCCACCTACTTCATCTCCCCGGTCACTACACCTGAAGCAACAAAAGGCTCGTGCTTTACAGCTCCCAGAACTCAATCCATTCAGACTGAGGCTGCCTCTTCTTCTACCCCCAGATTTTCCAGGCCTGGCTCCCTGCCATCCTCCAGCATCTGGACAAGGTCCCCTCCTCTCCCCCCTCCCCCACTTATCTAAATAAGCTTCCCTTTGCCTCGTCTCCAACAGCCTAGGCCTCTGCGCCTAACTGCAGTTAGGTACCTGTGCGCTGACATGCACCTCTCCCTATCCAGAAGGGAAGTTCCAGGAAAGACCAGCTTTGCCTGCAAGAGCCTGGTCCCCAGAGAAAGCTTAACAAAAAGAAAAAAAATGCTTGAATGAATGTTTAATCACCTGGAAAAATCAACAGTACCAGGACCTTGACATTAGACCCCAAAGAAACTCAACCTATCTGAAAAACAAACATAACCCCTTTCCTTTCTGTGCCATAGCCCTGAGTGATTGATGCCCGCACCTTGAGACCTCCCTTCCTCGCCCCACCTTCTTACAAATCCGACAGTCTTCGTGCCGACCACCAATCTGTCTGGAAATGACCCAGAATTCCTTGGCTCTGCAAACCGGAACTCCACTTTGGAGTGGAGCCCAAGGCCTCAAACTCACACTTAGGGCCAAGCAGAGAGGCCTTGACGTCCTCTGAATTTGCTCCACACATCTGGCTACCACCCTATCCTTTGGAGGAACAAAAACAGGAAAGGCACGGAGGCCTCCTGAGGCTGAGAAAGTTTCAGGGATTTGGGTGAAGCTATCCTTCTCCCAAACCCCTGATGTCTGACCCACAATAGGGAGGAAACACCTAATTGTAGGAAAGATAGAGCCAGAAACAGGACATGGAAGGACATACTGAATTTGGCAAAATACACACCTAGTCCCAGCTTTGAAATCAGACAAAAGCCTAGCTTCAAATCCAGGCTCCGGCATCTACATTTCTGAAAGCCACTGGGATGGTACCTCAACCCTCTGAGCCTCTGTTTCTACAGCTATCAAAAGAGATGCCACAGTGTCTATTTTAAGAGGATTGCTGAGCAGTTTTGTCCCTAGATATTATATTTGGTTAATCTACCTACTCTCTAATTCCCCAACATGAGCCGATTATTCATATGGAAAAAATACAATCAGGTGCCAAATCAGTCTTTGTGAGTTAGCAGAAAACAGACAAACTGGGTTTACCAAACTGTTTTGACACTGAACCATGCAAACTGACTGACATTTACTTAGTTCTGCCATGGAGGTGATCCAAGCTGATCCCTGAGTCATCTTTAAACATGTACAGAGCAAGTGAACAGTCAATATTCAATGAATGAATCAAATGTCGAGACGAATTCTATCTATGCTGATCCCACTAATCAAGTCAGACAGACTAAAATCTGTTGGTGGTGGGATTTGTTTTCATCACTGAACATGTTGTGGGGCAATAATCTACCTGTGCTTTACCTGTGAAGACTGGGCAAGAAAAAATATTGAAACCATTAAAAATCTAACTACTTCAACACTAGAGTTTTCTGCTGATATAGAATGTGGAGGGAAATGGGCAACTGGGATGTTAAACCTCCTTATTTCTTTTGGAGATTATCTGTCAGCTCTTCCTTGCGTTTGTCTCAGAAACCAGAGGAACTCTTTAAGATAGAATGATTACTCAGCAATAAACAAACAAACACTGAAGGATCATTCCTCACCCTGACTGTCACCAAACTTTGCGAGGATATTTAAGCAGAAGCATCCGTCTCAGTCTTGCTCCATAAATACCAAGGGAGGAAGAACATTGCCTAAGACCAAAGTTTGGTAAACCAATCTGATGAAACCGTCAGTGCATGGACACATGCCACAGCATGGTGTCCCTGAAGGCTCCCAGTGACTATAATTATCAAGCCCTGAGAGGTCCTACCTTGGGGTTCACATGCAAAACACAGTTTCTTGTGGCATAAACATGTCCATCTGTCGAACTGGAAGAATATCAGGGCAGTAAAGATCTCAAATCCCAGATAGGTACCTTTCCCCTAAGAAAATGCACATACTTGAGCAAACGCTCAGAACGGAAGCTAAGAGGTAGCCATTCCTGCTGCAAAAATGCCCGAGGCTTGCTTTATAATGCCTTTATAATGGATTTAACGTCTGTGGCTGACAGTGTGGGGTACCCAACCAAGATGTTGTATGCAGGCACTATGCCTAACCAAACATCACACTTGCAAAGACATGGTATAAAGTCAGCTGGTCTTGGTCCCTGTCCCAAGTTAGTCACAAATGTCTCTGTTTCTGAGACAAGTGTTTTAACTCCTGTCTCCTGTTTCCTAACCCAAAGACGGAGGTGATCTAACAAAACCAAATAAATATTCTCTACTTTCTACAGTTACTGGGGTGATCGAATGGATGTAGAAGCCATCAGAAAATACAAAGACACCCCCTAACTCAGGCACTCTTGTACTACACATATATATGAAATTAAGAGCCACCTGGAGAACTCCCTGCACCACTCTTTGCTCATACTAAATATGCTTCCTGTTATGAACGAAGGGAGTTCCTGGGATGTTGAGAAACTGCTGTGAATCAGGATGAGCACACAGCTCTTGGAGAACAGGCACTGCCACCTATCCTTAAGGACTCTGTGACAGCTTCTGGTGCCCTAGGACAACCACAAATGCCCCCACCCCAGCTTTGCACGGATCAGGCTCTAAGCCTATTACTTAGGTTTTACCGGACACTAACTATGTGCTATGATTCCTCAGAATACTGACTGCACTGTGACCAAGCCAAGGGAGTCACTAACTCATAGGACACTCAAGCAGCCTCCACAATGGGGGGTGGAGGTCACCTTCTCATTGCTTATTATAAGTACTCCCTTCAATACCTTGGGTTTGGGTGAACTTTCCTGAAGTCAGCAGCTAAATGTCTTCAGTATTCTAAGAACAAACAAACAAACAAACAAACAACAAAAAAAAAAAAAACAGGACAAAAACCCCAAGGACTCCATGCGGGACAAGAACTGTTACTACCCCTCTCTAAGCAGCTCCTGGCTCCATGCTTGAAACAGAGCCAGGCCAGCTTCTGAGTGACTCCTGAGTCCGAGTTCAGTTCCCCCCTCCATCTTCCACTCTCCACATTCACAGGTCCTAGAAACTGATAAGGTCCTGAAATCCTGACCAGACTTCAGGGACAACCAGAGTCAAAGGCCGGGGCAAAGTAACGGAAATGCACAGACACATGCCAGCGCATGAGGAGGGTCCTTAAAAAGAAACTCAGAAGGACAGAGATGGCCCAATACACAGCACTATGTTTCTCAGGCTCTAGAATGCACCAGAAGCACTTGGAGGTGGGGGGCGAGGTACCTGGCACCCAGCGCTTCCTAGGCAGTGGTTCAGGGGTCACATTCCAGAGAACCCTGACGCACTAAGTGGACAGGGACTGCCCAGGCTGCTGTCCCTACGGAGACTTCAGATCCTGATCACCCCTCTCTCTACTTCACACTGGGCCTTATGAAGCCCCTGATGGGAATTAAGCACTGTCTCCCACACCACACACACACCCCCAAGCAGCTGTGAAAGAGCACTAGTATCAGTCCCATCCTGGTGGGGCTGTGAACAAGATGAGTTTGCAGAATGAATGAGTTGGGGTGACAGACGGACAACACGCCAGGAGAGGAGCACTCAGCGGTCTCCTGGGATCCTGAGGACCTCTCTCTCCTGACAAGACTGTGCCACGGAATGGTGCCAAGAAAATGTGGTGACCTGCTTTTCTCCTAGCTAATTTGCCCGGATGACCTGCCACAATACACTGATTTCCCTCCAAGAGTGCACATCTCGTTTCCAGACACCAAGCTACCACCTTGCCAAGCAGATCGTCAACCTCCCCAAAGGAAGGCAGCAAGGAAGCACCGACACTACACCCCAGGTCCCTGAAGAGCGTGACCTGAGGACTTCTGACCCAGAAAGGAGCTAATGGTATCACACTGCACATTATTTTAGCAGTAGCAGGAGTTCCTGCCGTGATGTATTGTTCCGCTGTGTGGGGAGCTAGCAGATGTTCCTAACAGGCAGCGATTGTGTGACTACCAGAAGCAATCTCTCCCATTGGCCCGATCTGCCAGCTTTTTCTCCTTTAGTTCGGAAGGAACAATCTGCCCAGTATCCACGCCCGAACTGCCCTTTTCTGGCTACAGGACAGGAGAAGGAGTATGCCAAAAGCCAAGTTCAGGTTCAACAAGGAAAGGGAAGTGCTAAGCGCTTTGTTCACGGCACCCTGGCAAATACGGCATATGTGTTTGCAAACATGATGATCCTCTGCATGCAAATAGGTGTGTTTTGATGGGAAAACGTGACTTTCCCTCCCAGTAATATGACTTTTAAAGACTCAGTTTCTTCTTACGTGCAAGACTACACCTCAGTTCCCAAGCTGAATCCCTGATTCAGTTTAAACTCTGAGTAGCCCTGTGAGTCCAAGACCTTCCAAAGTAGAACCCAGACCCACACAGCCTCCGCTTAGGAGGCGCCCACTGCACAGCAAACAGCTCTAGTTGAGAATACTAGCCAGGACCTCAGAAGCATGGATTAAATGCTCTCTCCCCGCCTTTGCCCCCAAAGGATCCACTCATCTGTAGCCTCGGATGAGGCCGTGCCAGCTACCTTCACTTCCAGAACCCTTGGTGGCTCCTGTCCTCACCTGTTTTCCAGAAGAGTCATGCAGACCACCTCTCGGACCCCTGGGTTGTTGGCCTTCTCCACAGAGCAGCCCTGCAAGTTCCAAGTGGCCAACCTAAACACAGGCCGCCCATCCCGCATACCTCCAAAGGCCTCCACAGAGGGCCGCATGGAGATAATCTGTGTGGGCCCCCCTGGTGGCAGGTCCAAGTCTTCGCTCTGCAGGCTCAGAGAGGTGGGGCTGGGATGAGGCTTGGCAGTGAAGGTAAGGCCTCCGTTAGTGTGGGTAGATGGGGGCCTGGACCGCTCTGCGAACACCTGGTGTCTTATTCTGTCCAGGAAGGCTGCGTTGATCCCATCCATCCTCACCAGGTCCTCAACGCTGCGAAAAGGACCGTGCTCCCGGCGGTAGTCCACGATGCTGACAGCCATCTTCTCGGTGAGGCCCCGGACACTCATGAGCTGAGCTAGGGTGGCTGTGTTGATATTGACCCGTGGAGTGAGAGGCACAGAGGTGGCCAGGTGATGAGGCTGCTGCTCAGCCAGCAGGTCCCGCCTCAGGGAACTGGGGGAGTGCTGGGCAGAGTTACCCTTGCTGCTCACACAGATCTCAAACTTGACCTGTTCCAGTTTGGTGGCCCCAACACCGCTGACCAGTGCTAGATCTTCCACCTTCTTGAAGCCGCCGATATACTCCCGGTACTCCACGATGCTTCTGGCCACTGCCCGTGTCACCCCAGGCAGGGTCATCAGCTCCTCCTCAGTGGCAGTGTTGATGTTCAGCCGCTCCTGATTCACCAGAATGTTGCTGAAGTTGCAGGCTGCACTGAATTTACGGTTATGTGACAGGTCTGAGGGGTCTCTGGGGATGGAGCGATGGCAGCCCAGAGTGCTCCCCATGGCCAGCCAGCCAACGCAGAACAACTCTGGATAGAGAAGCCCAGGAGCCTTTATAAGCACAAAAGGATGGAAGGTTGCAGGACTTACGGGTCGAGGAAGTTGCTACAGAGAAACATCAAATCTTCCATGGCTAGTGTTCAAAATTTTGCTGGACCACCTAGAAATTGACATGGAAGTTGACTGAAGTTAATCAATCAACCCTTAGCACTCCTGTAGTATTGGAAATCCATATGTGGTGGGGGACAGTCAACTTCTGAAAATGCAGACGCAGTGAGACTGCCCCTTGTGGGTTTTGCTCGGATTATTTATCACACAGGGTCCAAAAAGGGAAGAGGGCTATCCCCTCTCTGCTCTGGCAGCGCTGGGGCCACCTCCTCACTTCGGACACCCCCACCGGAGCTCCTGCAGACAGACAAGAAGCCCCTATTGCGCGCAAGGCACTGTAACTTGGGAACTCAGAGCTGAGTGTGCGGGGACAGACACTGAGCACGGGCTCATGGACCCACCCCAGCCATCCGATCCCCGTCCCACCTCTCCGTCGCTCTGCTGGGGTCGGCCCCTGGTTCCCTGTGGCTCGCCGCGCGCGTCCCGGCTCTTTCTGCTGGGGAAACTCAGTGCTGCTCTCCCGGAGCAGGCAAGGCTGCTCAGGAGCGGCAGGAGCGGAGGCGAAATACCGCCCCCGAAGCTGCACCAGGACTTGCGGCGTCGCTTCTGCGTTGATCCAGGCAAAGTTCGGCGCCCAACTCGGGCACGAGATTCCGCGGAGCGCGTCCTGAGCCCAGCACCGCGCTCCCGCTGGTGCTCGCCTTGGGTGTCACAGCTAGAGTCGGGTCGCGCTGCCCGCCCGCCCGCGCCTCCGCCGGCACAGCCACGCCTCCTCCGCGCCAACTCCTCCTCCCGCCTCCCCGCGGCACGTAGGGGCGGGGCGCGAGCGCCAGGGGGCGGGACATTGGTAGGCTTGGAGGGGTGGAGTCGAGGGCGGGGCTTAGAGACTGGTTGCGCAGTAAGGATGGCTCACTGGAACTTGTGAGCCTGTCTGCTTTTCTGGAACCTAGGCTCCAGCCGAGCTCTATTTTTGTTGGGTGGAGCTGTTTAAGGCCGCCTGGGGCAAGCGGGAGTCTTTCAGGTGAGGTAGGCTTGCTTGCCCAGCAAGTCCAGGGCTCCTGAAAGTCTCAGAGGGGATCAAAGGGGATCTACCTCAATTCTCTCGCAGCTTTCAGGCCTTTCCTGGACTCAGAGACCCCATTCATCCAGGAATGCCTGCAAACCACGTGTCACTGTAGGAGGGCTCGTCTCCTGTGTGTTCACAAAGGTTGTGCATATGCTGTCATTTGCAAATTTAGCTCTCTGAGAAAATAAAGGACGTGTTTCTGTTAAGTATTAAATCTACTCACTAAAACGGAAGGAAATGATACTGGGAAGTGCAGGCTGCTTTCCAAAACGGTTTTTGGATGACATTGTGAAACGATAATTTAGTTAAAGATTAAAGGGCCTGATGTGTTACAAGCGGATACCTGGAGCAGAGTATTTGGTCAAACAAACCCGGCAGGGTGGCCGTAATGAGGTGATGCCATACAATATGTTGGATACTTTGACCCAGGACTGTTAGTGACCCCTGAAAGAATAGATCTTCACCCAACCATCTGGCCAAGGCTCCTGATTTGAATGTCTTGAAAGTCTGCAGAAGGCGATCAGAAGTGAAATGCTGGGGATGTTAGGACCCTCACTACCACAACAGAAGGACACCCCAGTCAGAGGGACTTAAACAAAAGAGGCGGAGTGGGGGCGGGGGTGTCCTGGCCCCTGGGGAATAGTTATATTCCTCTCTTGCCTCAAGCAGGCCTGCATTCTCACCACGGATGGCATGACTGACCTGGCTAGCTCCAATCTGCTACCAACCTTCTCTCCATCTGCTTTATTCTCGGGCACGCTGATCTCACTTGACAAGAGTGCCCAGAGAAAAATCAGAAGGTAGAGAGGAAGAAAGCAATAAAGACAGCAGGTAGGTAGACACCAGTGCACTGGGTATACCTGGACAAGTAAGTGCACACAGCCCCAGGTGGCAGTCTCCGATGACTGATGATCAAACTGGTGAAAACACAAAACAAATGAAATGTCCACCTATTCCTAGTGGGAGCCGAAGTGGATATAGCCACTCTGCAGACCAGCTTGACAGTTCCTTGAAAGTTAGAAGTGTGCTTGCCGTACAATGTAGCCATTCCACCGACAGGTATTTACTAAGAGAAAAAAAAGCACAAAGCCCCAAATCCTCTACATGGATACTTGTAGGTTTGTTGGAGTCAAAGACTGACAACTTCAAGTCCATCAGTTCGGATCCGGTCTGAGTCTGTCCCCCAGTAGTTCAAGTGTTGGGAGCTCAGCCCTCAACAGTAGTGATATTAGAAGGTGGTGGACTTTAAATTTTAGTCATCACTTCTTGGGAGGTCACTGAGGTGCCACCTGCTGAGGGAAGTAAGGGGGTGTTTAAAGAACCCTGAGTCAGTCGTTGGAAAGGGTTATTGCAATAAAATCCATTCTAGCTCGTTCCCTTGCTGTGGCTCCATGTCTCTCGTGACACCTTTCTCCTGCTCCTGTGACACCATGTGCCATGAGGTCTTGAGGAGAGGACAGTCATGCCAGCACTATTCCTTGATGACTCCCAAACTGTGTGCCAGATAGACCTCTTTCTCATAAGTGCCCCTCTCCAGGTATTTTATTATAGCAACAGAAAACAAGCAGTGGCAATCAAAAAACCATTTCTGGAATGTTGTTGAGCAATAAAGGCAAACTATTTAACAGAAGCAACAACAGAAAAGAGACTCAAAATCGGTTCATGCCTGAAAGGAGCCAGGCAAAAATGAACATGCTGCATGATTCATATATAGGCTAGAAAATAGAAATTGTCTGTGTGCAGTGTACCAATGAGTGTGTGGGGATGGAAGGGAGAAGAGCAAGCTAAAAAAAGACACCCACTTTCAAGGTGGGTGGTTGAAAATTTTGCTTGAGATGTACTGGTTGCATATGTCAAAAGCAACAAAATGGTATGTCTTAAGTGTACAGTTTAGTGTAGCTAAGCTACATGTCGATAAACTTAGGCAAGCCTTCAAAAAAACAATTTAACTTAAAAGAAGAGATGAAAATGGGGTAGGGCAAGGTAAGCCAGAGTTGAGAGAAGGCTGGCAGTCGTAAAGGGTAAGAGGGGACAAGAAGTTAAGTCAGCAGCTAGCAGAAGGGTAGTATAAACTACTCAGAGAGGTCCAAGAAACAGGAAACCAGCTTGTGAGATAACCCAGCAACATATTGGACTTCCCAGAATCAACACTAACGTGGAAAAGTTGGTTAAGGGCTTACTATAGAAGGAACGAAAGTTTAAATGAATTTTCTTGATTCTCCAAGGATATTAGAATTCTAGCTGACTATTGAGTAACATGAAGATGGCAGAGGTTGTATGGGTCCAGCCAAATGCCACATGTAGTGCCCTTTGCCCCTTATAACACAGTTCTCATTTAAGGCCTAGTCAGAGAGGACCAGGTCAGTGGCCTTTCACTTTTTAGTTAGGAGTTGCGACGATAAAGAGTGACTAGGGAGAAGTAGTAGAAGTTAGGAGGTAAAGCACTTGTTGGTCTCCAGTTTAATACCATGGGGCAGGCACCATGAGACAGTAATGAGTCAGATTCTGATTTCTTCTATTCCCAGAGCCTTTCGGCATCAGGGATGTAGATGAGAAATTAGGAGAGTACTATATGTTAAAATAAAGATGAGAAAAAATGGGACATGGATATAAAATAGTAATAACTTACTCTAGAGGACATCCCAGGGAAGCAAGGCTTAATGTAAGACTTAAAAGTAATGAGAAAATGATGTCTCAACCCATAAACTCCCAGTTCTTTCAAAGCAAAGCCAATCCCCACTTCCCAAATCAATAATGTCCAAGCAGAGTGCTAACAGGGACCTTGGCACCAACCTTACGCATTGGCCAAGACGGATGTTGTTCTGAAGAGCAGTGTGTCAAAGCACCGACTATTTGTGTGACCTGGACAGTAGATGTGTCCCTGTGTACTAAAGTGCTCCCTGTGTTTGGAACTGATGAAAGTCCAGGCATCATCAGGGCTCTGGAACATTCTGTATCAGGCCAGCTCCACTGCAAGTCATGGCAAAGGATGGCAGAGAATGACCACTGATAGATACCTGGACAGTGCCAACAGAAGCGCCTGTGGCCTTCACACCCAGCTGTGGAATCTGCATGTGGACATTCAGCATGAACTCCACCTAGCAGCAAGGACCCTGTACTGGCTGGTTTTGTGTATCAACTTGACACAAGCTAGAATCATCAGAGAGGAAGGAGCCTCGGCTAAAGAAATGCCTCCATGAGAGATCCAGCTGCAAGGCATTTTCTCAATTAGTAATCAGTGGGGGAAGGCATAGCCCATTGTGGGTGGTGCCATCCCTGCAGTGGTGGTCCTGGGTTCTATAACAAAGCAGGCTGAGCAAGATATGGGGAAGCAAGCCAGTAAACATTATCCCTGCATGGCCTCTGAATCAGCTCCTGCCCCCATGATCCTGCCATGCTAGAGTTTCTGTCCTGGCTTCCTTTGGTGATGAACAGCAGTGTGGAAGTGCAAACTGAATAAACCCTTTCCTCCCCAACTTGTTCTTTGACCATGGTGCTTCATCGCAGCAATGGAAATCTTAATAAAAATATGCCCCCACTTCTCTGAGTGTCTAGTGCTCTGCCACAGCCCAACCTGGGGAGACTGTGCCTATTGTCCCAGGAAGCCAGGCCCCAGAGTCCTCCTCACCACATACCTCTCCCCATATTGTGGAGCCTAGCTGCTGTACTGTAAGCATCTAGCTCACCTGCAAAGAGAAGCCACATGGAGGAGAATCACAGGAGCCCAGCCTATGCACCTCCCAGGCCCAGCTCTGCAAGGCAGGTGTCTGGAAACTTTGCCCAGTACAAGCACAGCAGATGTGCCCATAGGGGGAGCCTAGGAGAGACTCAAGGACACAGAAGCTACCCAGCAGTACCCAGGGTACCCATAGATTATGAGAGGTCAGTGCATATCACAGTGGCCCCTCACAGCAGGCTCAACATACAGTCTGTGTCCAGGGCTTGTTTCCCAGCAAGAAGAGAGTAGCACAGCTCCCAGTTCAGCCCTGTTCACACCCATTAACATCCATCCCCTTCTCTCCAGGCATTGGTTTCCCTTGGGGATGTTTTTGTTTGTTTTCAGTTTGACCACAGGATGCGGTTCAAGAGCTCAGAAGAAGTTGCAGATGATGGTTAGGTGACAACTGTATCTGTCAGAATAAAGTGTCAACTCTGAGATGAGAACCATGAATTTGCTCAGCACTGTGTGTATTGTGTGTTCTACAGGACACAGACATGGAACAGAATGCAGAGAGGGTGTGAGGGCAGGGGGAGAAGCAGAGGCAGCTCAGTCTCTGAAGGCCCCAGGCCAGGCAGCCTCTGTTCCTGTCAGGCTCCTTGCAGCTGAACATGTACCTTGAGGCAATACTTCTGAGGGCCACAGAGCAGCTAGGCATCCTGTCAGCCAGACCTGAGTGGGCTAAGTCCTGGCTATTTGTACACTTCCCAGCGCCACTGTGATTAGCACTGGCAGCTGTGTGGGTGAGGAATATGCCATAGTATGACCTTCCTGCTCTCTCACACCAGCTTCTGCGTATAATCCACATTGTGTTTACACCATCTTCCGTTGAGTTTTGTCCACATCTTTTTGCCCTGCACAGGATACAGAGGGGGTTTCTTGGCCTTCCCACCAGCTTTTGTGTTCACCATGACCTCACTGTTCAACA